CCTCTATATTTGGCAATACCAATATCCCTATACCCAACTTGGGGGCGTCTAAAGCCTGGCACCTCACGAAATTACCCAAGTCACAGGAATCCACGGAACACACATGATTATGCAATTATTTCCAATAATTTTTTTTTTAACATTATTAATATTTTACACTACTAGTAATACGTATAGGGATAGCATTTTTTTTTTTTTTAATGTTTAATAAATACATTTTTTTTTTTTTTTTTTTTTTTTTTTTTTTTAATATACTATTTTTATTAAATTTTAAATTATGATCACTGGATCAGTTGTTAGAAGTATAGAACTGAGAATGAAATAGTATGTATGCATATTCATAAAATTGTTATTTTATTTATTTAAAATAAGTTCTAAAGAACTTTTTAAATTTTTAATAAATTCTGATTTTTCCTCTGGACTTTCTTTATCTTCTACTTTCCAATATGCATTACAGGTTCTTTTTATTAGTTCGTTTACAACTAAGCATCGATTCTCCAAGGCCTTTTCAGCTTCTATTCTTTTAGATATTTCAATTTCCACAACTTCACAGCGTTTATATATTTCAAAACCATTCTCTACAAACATTTGTTGAAATTGTATCCACACACTTAACGTTAATAGTTTATCACTATACATATGTTTGTGAAATATATGTTAGCAGGGAAGTAAGTACTGGTGAAAAAACAAGCAAAAACAATTAATTGAAATCAACCTAGATATTTTTTTACCCTTTTCAATTCTTTTTTCAACAGTGCAGACTTCAGTAACAATTAACTGCTAGATGGGATAGGAGAACTTGTGAATCTCACTAAGAATTTTTATTATTAACTCCAACAACAGAAATCTGTTTAATTCAAAATTCAAAGGCTATATTTTCTGAGATTGAGTATTTTTTGGCATTCAGGGCAATAATTTTATGACATGCGCCTAATAGAAGTAAAATAATAATATTTTTATGATTGTAAAGGGCAAAATTAATAATATAATTATAATAAAATATATTTTATTTTTGTTACAAAACAAATTTACATAAAAAAAATTATTAAAAAATAAATAAATTATTTTATATATAAAAAATTTTTTTACATTAAAGAATAAAAATTTAAAACCCTAATCTTTTGTATTATATCTATAATACCATGTTTAGATGATGTAGTCTATTTTAAATCACTATGATAGGATTCTAGGGGATTGGTTGAAGTTACTTGCAGTAGAAAGAGCAAATATTGTCGTGCCCAGAGGGTCCATTGATTTAAAATTTTTATGTAATTTCACGTAATATAGTTTTTTATGCCAGGGACTTGACATGCGTGAATTGCCTGCTGAATGAGCTCCTCACAACCTATTTTTGTAGTTTTATGCATTGCTTAAATCATCAAGCTTCGGGTTTTGGTTTCATATATTTTGTTCATCTATACTTGTATTAAGTAGACTGTACAAAAAATTACGGCACACTCTTGCTCACCACTACGAAGACCAGGAAATACTTTCTTAATGCTATTGGCCTCAATATTGCTCTGGTTAGCAAAGATATATCGGGGAATCTAGTGACGTCCAAATTACCTAATAATTTTTAATGCATCTGTGACTATGTCACTATTTTCTTTACTGACAAAAAAGTGGGTACCAACGTCCTAGCACCTGTATATATCTCTTACGTACAAAGTAAATAGACGACAGTCATATTTGTTTGTCTTGTACGTCGAATCGATCAGGGTTAACCATCCATGTCGTTCGAGCTTAATGAGTTGGAGTGGGTGCACAAAGACTATACCATAGGTAGATTGACTCATATTGTTATATTGTTCAACATTATATCCTAAAAATAAATAAATAAATAAAATAAATTACAAATAAAATGAATAAAATAAAATAAGAAAATAAATAAACGGTTTGGTGCTGGAATAATCAAATTGGCAAAAAAATTCTTCCACAAAAAATTAATTATCTCGCAAACTAGTTGCGAGATAATTAATTTTTTGTAAAAGAATTTTTTTGCCAATTTCGATTATTCTAGCACCAAATCTATATATATAAATAAAATAAAAGATCCCAACCTTCATTTTTTAAAAAATGAATATATTCTGCAATGTCAGATTCTAAATTTATATTACCCCCAAAACTATTATTTTTTTTGTACTTTACAAACTTTTTGTTTAATGTTTGAAACATTCTTTCGTTTTAACTCTTTAACACTTGCGCCCAAATCCAACTTCCTGGTTGCAAAATCTTTGATCGCACTCACAATGGTAGGTGGCAGATAGTTTTTGACTGCCTCTTCTTCTACTAATTTTCGAACCACATCTGAACACTTTAACACTTCACTTTCTTCAAGTGTGTACATATAGTCAAGGCTGTTATTATATTATTTAATTTGCACTTTTTGTGCCCCAACAAAATGCAATATCCAGATTTTTGCAGAGCATAGATTGGGAGGACAGATTTTTGTCTTCCTACGCTTTTCAAAAGAGATACCTTCCTTTTGGCTACTTGAATGGTTATGTTTCATAATCCTGCATGCAAAAGCTTTCTATGAATTACTATTAGCATGATTTTTATAGCTAACCTTGATCCAAATATTTGAAACAAGTAGCCACCATTCATTATCAAAATCATATATTGAAACTTTAAATGGTTTGCCAATATTGAAGAGAAGTGCATGTCTTTCATTAGTGGTTAAGGATTGAGACATATAAAATTTAAGCATGACCTCTCTATTTTCTTCAAATATGGTCTCTTCATATTCTTCAAACATAGCTTTTTATCATTTTCCTCAAACTTTACACTTTCATTTTTCTCAAGTTCTATACTTTCGCTTTTCTCATATACAATATTTTCCGTTTCTACAAATACAGCATCCTTCTTTTCTACAAATACGCCTTCATTTTCCACAAAAAAATTACTCATATAATAAAAATATATACTGGTATAATATATTGGCCTCTTACTATGATTAAAAAAAAATCATATGTATGCTTGGTGATATTCGATATTGTTCACAAAGTGTGCAAAATTAAAAAAGATATAAGAAATCTTTATAAAAAAAAAAAAAAAAAAAAATCTTAAAAATCAAGATTTTTTTTTTTAAAAAAAAAAAAAAAAAAAAAGATAGAATTAAAAAACTAAATTTTTAACCCCACAGCTTATTTCATACTTCATTATTTATAAAAATCATACAACCAACAGAATTTAAAAAAAAAAAAAAATTTAATAACATTTTTAATTTAATAAAAAAAATTGTAATTAACCACTTTCCGTAATCTCTCGTGATTCAGGTAATTTCATGAGGTGCTAGGCTTTAGATGCTTCCAACTTGTGGGGTACTTGCTTGAAAGAATAATCAATAGATTGTATATATAAGTCCTAATGTAGAATAGCATTGAGTACTTGCTTGAAAGAATGATACTATACTACTAAAACTAAAGTAGTAAGAGAAGCAGTAATATACAACTATGGGCTGTGATAAAAGATCATATTTTAACTAGAATTAGAAGCATCTCTGGCACTAGTAGAACAACTATAAAAGGTTACTTGGCATAGAAAATATAATCTACTTCTGTATATCTAAAAGTACTAATTCAGAGCTTTGGTTATATCTATATAGAAATCTATAATGAAAAAGAGTTAGGATTTATCAACACTAATATGACACTAACTAGAAATAGCTAGAAGTAATTTAGCTTGCTATTTAAGTAATTTCATGGTATTAGGCTAGTCTTTAACAAAATAGATCATTAAAGCAAAATTACGAAAATAGCTAATAGCTAGGAGTGTGTAGTTTTATAGTTGCTATGCAACTCAAAGAGTCCTCACAAATTATAGTTCTGACAAATACTATATAAGAGAGTATTTAAGGAAGTAGTAAAAAGTATACTGTATCAGATAACTTAAAAAATACTAAGACCTGGAGACGACAAACCAGGTGGCGGCAGCAGGGATCTGGCTTGAGATACGAGGCTAGTATACTTAGAGAAACAAGTGGAAGCTTAGGGTATACATATATTATTAAGTTGTATGAAGGAATGCAAGCCGGTATTAGTTGATACAAACCTACAATAAGTCTTCTTTCTAATATGTGATACCAATACTTCTTATATGAGACTAGCGATAACAGCAGATACATAGCTTAAGAAACATAGACAAGAGACTATCTATTAAAAAGAGTATACTAGTTTACAAATACTTTGAATAACAGGCACACCAAATTGAAAGGCCATTAAGGATCAATTACTCAAATAAACCAATTTGAGAATTACCAAGATTTGATAGTGAGATATAAGATAAATATAGTAGGTAACTAGATATATTTAAATACTAAATTCAAGTATAATCCAATATGTAGTGAGAATGTAGTATACTCTGGTAGATTTAGATCATAGATAAAATTGTCTAAGGTTGTATTTTTAAGTTAAATATGTAGCCATATAAGGCAAATACTTGAAATTATCTAAATAAAGATATAAGACAAGACCTTACCTTAATATCGAAAAAAAAAAATACTTCTAGTATCAATTTAGTTATTTTGTATTTTCAAATATCTTTTTGGTTTAAATATCAAATATAATAAAGGAGTCTGCCAGCAAAAAACTTAACCTTTATAAAAATTAGTTCAGAGTAGTTTGCTTTCTAGTTTTATATTTTTGATACTTTGTTAACAATATATCTACTTTTGTAAAACCAAATTTATTATTACTTTAGTGTCTTCTATAGCATTTTTTTATAGTTTAGTTTTTTAAACTTGTTGATCAAAAGATCATCAAAAGAGTTAATATATATTACTTAATATATAAGTATAGTTAAAAAAATATATTTAAATAAGAAAAATATAATAAAGTTTAAATTAAAATAAAATAAAAGAAAACAAAGAAAAAACTCTTTCTGATGATTCTCTAGACAATGCAACAAAAAACCAAACTTACAGAAAAATGCTATAAAAAGATCCAAGAATATACTATTTGCTTAAAGAAGTACTGTTCAATGTTACACAATGTTTATGTATTGTCACATATAGATCAACCAATCAAATTACAAGTTTAAAATAAAAAAAATATGAAAATAAAACAAATCGAAGTGAAACAAAGGCAATAACGAATTAAAAGTTCAAGAAACTTTTGTTGTAGGTAAGTAAAAATATCTAGAATTCATTTATTTATTAATTTAATAAATGACTAACTTCTAATTGTTACTATTTACAAAAAACTTCGATATATTCCATTATTATATATATACATATAATTTAGAATTCAGACTTCTCACTCTATTACTATATATCTTTAATAATGTGACTATTATTCTATTATTCTACTGAAATAGTTTTTATAATTTAATATTCCAAGTTTCTATCCTATATTAAAAGTATTAAACAAAAAAAAAGATATTTAGTTTATTGTATATATATATATATCGTATTTGCTTAATTTGAACTTTTCTTAATAAAGTAAATAAAAGACAAATATTATAAACCAACATCTAAATCCATGTTACCTTTTTAATTATTCGCTTTGATTTTTTTTTGGGTTCTATTTCCCAATATACAGATTTAGAGGTTGTCCGTTATGTATATTACTTCATTTAACTATATTTTTAACAAGTAAGTAGCAACACAACAGTGTGAGATTAACTGGGATTAAAAAAATATGTTATAGTATAGTTCAAATATTTCAAGTTTGCTTAGAAGATTTTATCATCTTTCATAGTAAGATAAGTTGTACGAGCTTCTTAAAAAAATATTGTAAAACAATATAAAAAATTTTTTATTAATTGTATAACTGATCTGCAGATAATAAATGGTCCCACCTCAAACTATTTGCAGTTCTGACTTTGAGTAAACAGTTGTCAACAAAGCCTGTAGATGTAAAACACTGAGAAGTAGGCATAACTTAGGCAGTTTTTTTTGGGATCAAGCTTTTGTATCTTAGTAAACTCCTCAAGATATTTGGCATTCAAACCAGAAGGGTATTCTGGGAATTGAACTTACCTCTAAACAGGTTGCTGTTAACAAAACTTGAAAGATATGAAACACCAAGAAGCAGATATAACTTAAGTAGTTTTTCTTGGAGTCAAGCTCTTTTGTGTTGTAGTAGACTTTCCAAGATATTCAGTATCCAAACTAGAAGGTTTATTCTAAAAGCAAGTAGTAGAATAGCCCTTGCTACAATAGTATAATCTTGAAGACACAACTATACAACTATAAAACTTACAGAAGAACCTCATATACTCTTGTTGGCCCCACCTTTTTTTAGAAAAAAATTTATAAAAGTGGGTAATTTAGCTTACTCTCTTCAAAAAATCAATGAATTGTTTACTCACCAAATTGGGTAGCATTATTTATATTTATTACCTATTACAACAAATATGTGGATGCAAGGATGTAGATAACAAGATTACATGCTTCGAATATGACAACCTGGATATACGATGCTCTGAGCCCAATGATATGAATTTTTGACTTTTTTATAATACTGATGTCGAAAAAGTTTTTTCTTTTTTTTTGTTTTTTTTTAAATTTAAAGTTTAGACATACTATGAATATAAATTAGTGTAGAAAATAGTTTAAATAATAGTATATAATTTTTAAAGAGCCTGATACAGGCTTATAATTATAACTATTTGGCATCATTTAGTTTAGTTTTTTCATTCTTCTCTTATCTTTTTTCTTTTCTTTTATTTGTTTTTTTATATACTCTCTATATCTCTGTGTTTGGTTTAAAAATTTTTCTTTTTCTTTTACTTCTCTATGAGAAAATGTCATCAGATTAGCAATATTCTATTGTAGAGTGGTAGTCAAATGAGCCTCTGGTTAGGGTATTATCTTAATTAATTGTACTTCACTAGTGCGATTAGATTATCTGTAGATGTATATAGATAATTGGTTAGGTTATGCGAGATAAATACAGAATATCAGATTTGCACATTTAATGTTATGATATTTCTACAGATTCAGTTTTAGTTAAATAAAGATACTGACATGATCTGCCTAAGTGAAAAAAAATAAAATAAAATAAATTAAAATAAAAATATTATAAAATAACTAAATAATAAATTAAAAATAATAAAATTTACTTAAGTATAAATCAAAAATATCAATAATTTTATAATAAAAATACTATAAAAATACTATAAAAATATTAAATAATAACAGTTTATTATTAAGAAAATACAAGATAATAAGGTTTTATTACAAAAATATAATTAATAATAAGAGTTAAATATATCTAAAAATAATTAAAATCAGACAACACAACAAAAAATTGAACTACAGAAAAACAATATAGAAAGTCTTAAGATATATACTATTTTAGTCCTGTTTTTGAATAAGCAGTTGTTAACGAAACCTAAAGACATAAAATACCGAGAAGCGAGCGTAATTTAGACAGTTTTTCTTGGGATCAAGCTTTTGTTTTCAGTGGACTCCTCAAGATATTTGACATCCAAACTAGAAGAGTATTCTAGGAACTGAACTTATCTCTAAACAGGTTGCTGTTGACAAAGCTTGAAAGACGTGAAATATCGAGAAGCAGGTATAACTTAAGTGGTTTTTCTTGGGGTCAAACTTTCTTCTTGGTGGACTTTTCAGGATATTCGGTATCCAAACTAGAAGGTTTATTCTAGAAGCAAGTAGTGGAATGGTCCTTGCTAAGATAATATAATCTTGTAGAACCAACTATACAACTGTAAAACCTACAGAAGAACCTCATATATTTTCATTGTCTCCCTACTATTTTTTGGGGGAAAATTTTGTAAAAAGTGGGCGAT